TGCAATACCCTTCAGCCATGCTACCCTGTCTTTGAGTCAGCCAACTGTGGATTAAAAGCTCTATAAACTGCGAACCAAAATACACCTTCCCTCCCTTTTCAATGGCAAACAGTAACACCCAGATGACACCCTGGAGTTGGAGACAGTTTTATTTACGTCAACCCGCACTGATTGGAATCATTCCCAGAACATCAGGCCCCTATCTTTGGTTGTCTAGGGATTTTATATGATGCACCAACAGGAGATACAAAGGTGAGACAGACCAGCCTGGCAGTTCTTCTGATTAGCTAGCAGATGAGATCATTAGTTACAAGGCCAGATTAATGATGCTCAGTTTATGAAGCTTGGTGTAATGACACAATCAGGCATTTTGTGTTTTCTTTAAGCTCCCATGGTCACAAGCATCAATAAAGTAATTACAAAACCATGAAACAGTTACAGAGCTTGGTAGTTTCATAAGAATGTCTTAAAAAGAACAATTTCTCTTGTACAGTTTTTCCCTTTCCTTTAACTTGGAAAGAAGATATTTTTGTCCCAGGAACAAGAAATGTACCAAGACAGGCTCCTCCCTTTCCCTACTTCCCAGCTGCCAAGTGGGAAGCTTTCTCTACTGTACCCTCCTGTCCTCATAGCCTACTTTCCTCCAGCCCCACAGCCATGGAACAAGCTGAGCATGAACTGAGACTCATGAAGCAAAAATAAAACGTGCTTTCTCTAAGTTGACTTTCCTAAGTATTTTGTCACAACAGTGGGAAACGGAGGATCACAGACATATATGTATGTGTACATCTACATACTAAAAATGGACCCTGATTTGCATTTCTCTGTTGAATTTTTATCTTTCCCAGTTAGAAAATCAGTTGATCAAATTAAGTGGGTCTCTGTCTAAGTTCTCTGTGTGCTTGTTATCCTTCTGTTGAAACAAAGAAATAGATATTTTGAAATGGACAGACTGGTTTCCTCTATTCACTTTTTTCAAAAATACTTTTAAACTTCTCTGTTTCCACATAAATTTGGGAATAATATTACATGCATCATAACACAATCTTGCTATTCTTTCTGCACATTAAACTGCTGCATCAATGTGGGAGGGGTTTGTCATTTTTCTTATACTAAGATTGGCAATTTTAATCACAACAGAATATTAGATATTGTAATTTTCAGAATCAAACTCCTGGGTGTTTTTTATGACATTTAGACATACAAATATTTAATTCTTAAGTGACTGCACAATTTTAATTTCAGTGTTTATATGTGCATTGACAATCTGTAGAACCACAACTGATTTTTGTGATCATCTTATGCACTATGATATTGCTGACGCTTTTATTAGATTTAAGATTTTTCTTAAATTCTTAAATTTTCTGTGTATGTCCTGTGAATATAGGCAGTTTTATTTCTTCCTTTCTAATCTAGTTATCCAGAGGA